ATAACAATCACTATATTATATAATTGATCATTTTATCGCTCACTTCCTGTGATATCAAGAACGAAAAATAATATTAAATGTTAGAATCATGCTATTCTCTGAACATCAGACAAAACAAGAAACAAAACGATCTATCATATATGAGCCTATTATGAATATGCTGATGGTGAGAGGAGGATGTACACCCTTTCTTTGAGAAAATTTTCATGTTCTCTAAGTCAAAACTATAGAATAAAAAATTTGTGTATTTTTCTCTAAAAAAACCAATGTGTATGTATCTTTCTAGTTCTCAGAAAATTTCATTTGTATTTTCTCGGCTCACTTTTTTTTTCTTTGTCTCATATCTGCCGTTTACAATCGATTTATAATGATCTATTCGATATTAGCTAGTCGAAAAATATTTAATAGTTTTATGAACATGACCAGAATGTATGCAAAAATTTTTAAAAAAATCTTAATTTATATATTTGGAATAAACTAATCTTTATTTACGACAAGATAATTTTTTTTTGTAAACAAAGTATTAGAACTTGTTCCCATGTTTTATTGACACTAATATCTCTCTGGTTGTTCTCTATTTTTTCTATTGATAAATGACAATTTAACCTGAGACTTGTCAATTAATAAAAATATCAGAATACAAATACTATTATATGGACAATAAATTCAATTAGATGGGTGTGGGGTTTGGGTGTTGTTGAACAAAGGACGTTCAAATAGTGTCGCGCGAGAATGACTGTTCTGGGTTTTCGGTTGTCGTTCCCGCGATGCTTTTAGAGTTCCTATTACGAGTCGATTTTTCGTGTTCGACGACAAGAATCATTAAAAGACACTAGCTTGTGTGAACATCTCATTCTGTACAATGTGATATGATTTTAAATTAACAATAAGATTATCTTTGGAGGCATATATTTGTAAAATAAATCAATTGTTATTTATGCACCAAAATTCATCAATGTTAGTTTAGAGAATTATCTTATTCACCAATTGAACAATTGAAAAGAGAAAACAATATACATGCACATCAATAACATCGATGAGAAAACGAAAACATTCATAACGAAATGATAATAATAATGCTATATGGTGAGATAATTTGAATAATAATAATTTTGAAAAGAATAATCACAAAGAAAAGATAATAGTTGTAATAATAGAATAAGAATACAATGCATAATGAACTAAATTGTCTATTTCTTGTTGAGCGATATTTGTTATTTTGTTTTAATTAACAAGCAATGAAGAAGTTTTCGAAAGAATATCGAAATTTATTTCTCAACAGTGTAACATTGGATTGAGTTCAACATTTTTTGTTTGAGATAGCAAAGTTTGCACAGTATATACATAAAACAAAACGATACTCGAAACTACCTATTGTTTAAAATCATATCTGTTACCGATTCTCATGGAAAACTGAACAAGAAAATACGACAAAAAATCGTTCTTATAGAACAATTCTCTCACGACACACATATCTGCACTCTTTTTAATATTCTTAAAAAGTGCGTAATACACGGCACCGATGGTTATCTTGGTTTTAATTATAAAGCATATTGTATAAATGGAAAAATATAGTAACAATGGATGTCCGTAGTTACAAAAACGGCTCGATTCGAGTTGAAAACAAAAAGCAAAGCTCAGACTGGCTGTCCATATAATATTCAGCGAGAATTCAATCTTACTTCGCAGTCTTAGCGATACCTGTAGCTGTCTACAATTTTTACGAGAATCATCATGATCATTGAGCTTAAAAATTTACTGAAAAATTTTACTCGTTTGAATTTGACATCTGCGATTTTATTTAACGCTTGTTTACATCTAAAAGAAACTGTATGGATACCTATATCCCGTTAGTCTAGGATAAGTGAATCGATTCTCGATGAACGCTACTTGTTACTAAACATACAAACATTTATATAAGTAGAGCATCAGTTTTCAGAGAGTTTTTTGAGTCATTGAACTTCCAATCGCTTCTCTCCTCTTAAAAAGTGAGAATTAAAAAAAAAGGGCTCTGTCCTGCTCTGCATCCTAACATACTTTTTCAGACAAAAACAATTTAACTATACAAAATGAATCTGAACAGAGAAATTTGGTTTGCTTAATAGGCTATTTTTGTCCCTCGTTTGGCTAATATTTCCCTCGAACGTCATGATATTTGTCTGAAAATTTCATGCCATTTGAACGTTCTTCAGTTGAGATTGATTTTTGAGAGAGATCTTAAGAAAGTAGAAACAAAGTCTACACTAATTATTCACATTTCTTTTGTATTCTATCTTGGGCTCCACAGTATTGTCAAAGTTAAAGTTGACTTTAAGTGTTCAACTATCCAGCCCAGGTATTCAATAAATATTCTTTGTGTATCAGGAATAATTGAACACTTGAGTTGATAAATGAATACTGAAAATTCAACTTTCAAGTTTGATATGTCTAAAAATAGTTCTTACGGTTTTTCTATTAGTTAGTTCGATATTCATTTCCAATGCTGATAATGTTATATTTCTATCATCACAGATTCAAGATGAAAAAAATATTTACAATATTATTATATAATTTTTTTGAAAGAAAAAGAAAATATCAGTAATTATATTTTATTATAAAGAAATAATCTTCATCAACATAAATACATTTTACAAAATTGGTAGGTCAACATTCAACCATCGGAAGAATTCTGCTTAAGCCGCTTGTCCATTAATTGTTATTGCAATAAACTGTGGAGTACCCGTATTGTTAATCTATCTGAAATAGTTTGATTGGCACAATAACAATAAGGAAATCAACAACGGTTAGTATGACATAATTCTATATCAATATTGGGTATCTGACTAGAGAAAAAATAATGAACAAAAAAATTATTATTGAAAGAATAAACCTGTTTATTCAAGACGAAAACATTCTTTTTTTGACATTCATAAAATTAAATTTGATTATATTTTGTTCGATTAGATCGATATAATACTTAGTTCTGCAGAGAATCCGACTGATCCGTTTTATAATAATATAAAATTTTAGTTTTATTCAAAAGTCAATTGGTAAAGTCAAATTATTTAGCATAAATCTTTTTCTCATGTCATAGAATGCTAAAATTAGAATAAGATGGATCAACAGATGATGGAAAAAGACAACTGTCACTCATTTATGCCCATGTAACTGACATGATATGTAGATATGATCAATTTGCATTTGTATATAATCAGTGAAAAAACTGATTACCGTAGATTATTTTTTTCTGTGTTTTCATGTTTCTCTTCAAGGAAAAAAATCAATGTTCTATTATATCGAAATTAATAGACAAGATAGATTTGAAATAGTTTTCATTTTCCTTAATTACATACGAATCTTATCTTTAGAAAGATATTTATTCATGTTTCACAATATCAACAGCAATCTAACAAACCAATCCATTGCTTTATATGACTATCAGCCAATATTCTACAAAATTTTTCAAAAATCATAATTACATTTTGAATAAATATAACGCCTTTATTGATCCAACTCAATTTAATACGTCTTCTTTATGCCATTTGAAGGAGGACAGTTAAATTTATATCAGTACGATACAGTTTAAATAATTAATTGGTCTTACTATTAATTGATTAGGATTCATTTTGATATATTCCTATCAACGTAATATATACCAATAGCATGTTTAGTACAAACAAGACCCATGAAATGAGTCAGTACATTCATGACACCAATTATCAAAGTTTTCTTTATGCCAAGAACAGAGAGCGCTTTCATAGAATAAACTGCGCAGTTTGTTGATCTTTTCAAAAACTCTTGAATGAATACTGATAAAACACTAGTGAAACATGTTAATGATTCAAATCCCATAATAACAATATGAATCGAAGCAAATATAGAAAAAAAAGATACTTCACGTTGGTTGATAGAAATGAAAAAAAAATACTAAACTTTTTAGGTTATAGTCAGAAGTGATAAAGATTTAAGAGATTTTATGAAATTTATCTTAAAGAATAGAAATTCATAATTTTCTGAAAAACAAATCCAAAAGAAGTGTTGAATTAAGACTGATAATCAACAATGTAATTATAAGCATTTGAAATGGGACGAATGCCTTTGCGGTATTGTGCAATTGCCGATATCTAAACTAAAAAGGCATGATCAAACATTTTGAACTTATCGTGTAATCAAACGATTTGAAGATATACCCTTTTCTGAAAAGATATTCTTGCAAAAGCTTTAAAAAAAGGCAAATATTTCTTGAAAAACATGATCGGAAATTTCAAGTTTCTGCCAATATGTCCATTAGAATATATTCATTTAACCAAAAGTCATATACATTCTGAACGAGAAGACTTTCGTCCACTTTTCGATGCCAAATAGCCCATTTCTGTTTTTTTCAATTTGGTTTACAAATAAAGCTTATCAGTTTAGATTTATTCAAATAATGGAATTTATTCACAATTCCTCGTGCGTATATGAATAAGATTTTCAAATCATTCTCATTAGCTTCTTGAATATGATATTCATCTTAATGAGTCTCTTATTCCTGATGAACAGGTAAAGTAAAATGTTTATTATAATCAAACCAATTCAAATTTATAGAGCTATCTTTTTTTATCTTAGACAAATAAAGATAATAAAGACAATAAGTCTTTGGCTTGAAATGTTTGACTATCGATTTACTGATACTGATGAGAAAACTAATATTCAAGAGAATGATATAGAATTCATATCAACCGATAAGAAAAAACGTATTTCATTTACTAAATCATATAATAAATTAAGTATAATACAGTAAGTTCACTATGACTTGACCATATTTATACGTAATAAATCTTAAATTTAGTATGAATAATATTATTCATGCAATTCGTACTGAAAAACAAGCATCATTAGTATATTTACAACGACTACAAGCATTTGTTGATGCAAATAAAGATTATCTATCAAAAGTATAAACATATATTTTTATTTTTATATTGAAATGATTTATTTTTTTTTACTTTAGTAAAAGATAAGAAAACATGAATCACATCAATTACATATTGAAAATTTAAAAAAATTTTTATATTTTCAAACATATCTATATCAACAACGTTTAAATGCTAATCAACAAAAACAAAAGAACATTAAAGAAAGAAGTATATTAATTTTATTCTTTCACTTATTTCTATTTTTGTTGTTTATTTTCTTTTCAAAAGAAAAACAATTAAATCATAATTTATCACAATTAATTGTTGAACAAGAAGTGATTAATTTATATAATAATAATTTAAATCAATCAAAGTATGATAGATATGAATATTTTATTTATAATTAAAGAATTTGTATTTGAAAAGATTTATTCTTCATACTTTAATACAAATAATCTCTTATCGATAAAAAGAAATCATGAATGAAATCTATCATTACATTTATCCCATTGATAATGATAATCAAAATGAATATTTTATAGCGAATATTAAATTACCACAAGTAGATGCTAAAGCCTATCAATTCGGACTGTATTTGTAGTTTTATATTTAATATATTTATATACAACTCCAGAAAGTAGATACTACAAAAGGTTACAACTTGTTCAATGAACTAATCCAATAGAGAACGTTGTTCATTCAAAATTTGAAGTCAAAAGTAGGTTTTTCACGTAACCGAGAAGCATCACAGTTTTTTCCTGAAAAATCCGGTAATAATTTGATAGAACGTGAACAAATGCCCTAAAAACCAGACCATTCAAGACATTTCTATCAATTACTAGTTCTCATTAAATAAACATTGTCTCGGTCGAAAAGCGATTCGGTACCGAAAGAGATTCTTCCGTACATTCTAGTATCTGATATTAATGCATATATGTGAAGAAAGCGACAGAAAAGGCATAGTAAGTATGAAGCGAACTAGCACAATAGCCAAAAGTATTCATACAGATTACATGAGCACTTTTCCAAAGCGTTCGTTCAGATTCTAATAAATACTGATTTTGATGTCTTCCAAGGGTGTTACATAGTAGAAATATCGATGCGAGAGCTCATAGAAAATGCAAGATAAATGAAAACATACGTAAACTACTTTAGAGTCCGATTTGAAAAAATTTCATGTTCAGAACAATAGACGAGAGAATGCTCCTAACTGCCAAACTGTTTTTCGTCTGAAATTATTATTAATTGATCATTCATGGTAAGTCGTCAAAAAAATTTCTTTTGGTTTGATTTTCCCTATCTTTACTTGTTGAGCTATAAAATTTTACAATATTCTACGTAACTATATAACACACCTGTGAACAATACTTAACCTGAAAATCCAATCAACCAAGTTTTCAGTGTTTGCTATGCTCATAGAGCAAAAACTCAGGGAAAACACTCCTATCTCAACAAGCGAAGATCAGAAAATCAAAAGAGACTCTTTTACTATTGTTCATCATCGATTGAATGACAATAGTGCCAAGCATAAAGTTATTGAATAAATAAAAATATTCTCTTTTTAGATTATTTCTTGACTATATTAAATGACTCAAAAAACTGTAAAGAAATCAAGATCAATTCATGTTGTTCTTGTTATATAAGGAATATACTAATGGTATCTTTTCAATAAATGAAATTCATTATGATAAAAGAAAGATGATTGATTTTAAAAGTTTCTTATTCTCATAAGAGACTTGTTTATAAATATGCTTTATTTAATCTCTAAGAAATATAAAATCGATCATATATAAAAGTTAAAATAACAAAACTACAAAAGCCAATTGTTGAATAAAAAACAATATTTGAACGAAATAATGGTTCTGTAACAGTATCAAACAAATTTAATAATGATTGACTATTTGTTATCATATTAGATTTCCAAGTTTCTATTTTTTGTTTTTCATTAAAACATTCTTGATCATTGTCAATATTAATTTTTTGATTACAAATAGATTTTATTCCTATATTTGATAAATATTTTTGTTTCATTTGTTCAAGTCCAATTGGTTGTTTCATCCAATTAATAATATCAATAATACGTACAAAATAAACATCATTTGAATGATAATGTAATGTATGTTCAATAAATAATTTTAATCCTTCTATTCTCCATAATGTATATGGTTCATTTAACCAATAATTATCAAATGCCATTATAAATGGTGCATGATTTGAATGTAAATGACGATTAAGATTATATTTAAGATATTGAAAAAATTTATCTTTTCTAGGTAATATATGACAATAACTACTACTAATTGTTGTACAATTTCGTCCTTGTAAATCTTGATACATATGTATTGGAATTGTCCAAAGTCCAGGAAATGATTGTGTATAACAACTTTGTGAACAATCATAATTAGCTGCAAAATCCATTGTATGTGGCCATGTTAATGATGTTGGTTGTTGTTGATTATAATATGGTACATCCCATTCTTGTGTTATTAATGTTGAATCATATAAAAATTTATGTTCTCGTAAAATATGCCAATGAAGTTGATTATTATTTATTTCATAGTTAGGTGAACGATAACCAACAATTGATGATGAATGAAGACCAGTTAATTTAGCAATTCTACGACGATAATCAATTGTTTCATTATAAAAACGATATGAACGCCAAGGTACATATGGACTTTTATCATGTTTTTCTTTTATACGACAATCAACAGTTGGACATCTAATTTAAATATTTATTATTTAGATAAAAATAATAATAAAACAAATACAATTGAAAATATTTACTCGCTTGAATTTGATGATATACTTAATTCAATATTTCCATATTCTAGAACTTTTCGAACTAAACAATAATTTGTTTCAATATGACTTTTAAGAAAAATAGTACCACTAATAGAACAACCTAAATAATTGAAAAATATTTATAAAAAAAAAAAAAAGAAATCATATTTTATTTATTAAATCAATAAATAAACAAACCATCTGGATTATAATATTTGTTTGAAAAAAATATCTCTTTCAATAATTTATATGTTTTATCATCTATTGGTCCATTTATTGTTATTGCAATGAATTGTGGAGTATTACGTATTGTTAAATCACCTGGTATAGTTTGATTTGAACAATAACAATAAGGTAATCGACAACGATTATTATCACATGTTTCAATATCAAAATATGATTTATGACTAGAGAAACAAGAATGAAAAATAAAAATAAATGTTAAAACAATAAACATTTTTATCCAAGATAAAATTATTCTTTTCTTGTCATTTGTTATATTAAAACTGTTTATATTATATTCGATTAGATGGATATATACGAGTTCTAGAAAGAATTAGAATGGTTCGTTTCATCATCAAATAAAATTTGAATTTTATTCTATTCTAGTCTAGTCTATTCTATTCAATCAATAAGAATAAGTTCGTAGAAAATTCTATTTTCTGCTGCTATATAAAATAGATAGTAGATGTATCAACACATGACAGAATAAGATAGGGACCATGCACTTGTTTATATCTATATCATTGACATCGTATTTAGAATATCATGGATGTGTACATATATGTCAATTTTCATTTGTATGAAATTCATGAAAAATTAGATTGATGCAGATAACATTCTGTTTTTATTGCAAAAGATTTATATTTTTACGTGGTTGTTTATTGATTTTATGCAATACAAACAATAATCTAATAGATAAATTGTTTTCCTTATACGATTATAAAGCAATACTCTACAGAATGTTCCAAAAATTATAATGACATATTCAATGCGTATTACGGTATTATTGATGAAACTTCATCTAATATGTTTTTGGTTAAGTGAAAGAAAAGAATTCAATTGATGATGTTATTATGGAATTTAAATGATTAACATGTTTTATTACTGTTTGATCAGAATTCATCTTGATATGTTGTACAATATGAAATATATCAAAATAGCATGTCTAATGATTTAGAACTATGAAATGGGTCAGTACATTCATTCTATCGATTATCAAAGTTTTCTCTGTGCCAAGA